ACAGCATCTCGGTCGGCGACGGGGCTTGAGATGTTGTCAGGGTCGTAGTGGACGTGGGGGATTTGTTTGTCGCCGCGAGCTGTGCAGCGAGTTTTCCGGGAGATTACGTGGCCGGTTTCATCGCGTTTGAGGCGCAATGTGAATTTGAGCGGGAGGAGGGTGGCTTGAGGGGGTAGGGAGGATTTGGGAATGTACGAGAGTGTGCCGTGTTTTTCAAGGCTGGCTAGTTCGGCGTTCCACGAGTGTTCCCATAGGTGGAAGTCCGGTGCTTGGCGCGCCGCGCGAAGGGAGCGTGGATTTGTTGCCGTGTCGCCGGGTTCTGCGTCGTAGTTCAGGGTGTTGAGGCAGAATGTGGGCATGGACATGAGGGTTTCGATGTGATCATCGAGTATGATGGTGGGGGTGCAGATGTTGTTGTGGTTCAGTAGAACAGGGGAGCTGTTGTGTGTGGGGGGTGGTGGTAATTGTTTTCTCGATTGGGTGGAGACGGGGTCCCGGTGGGGGTCGTACGAGATAAAATCGGAAGCTCGACAGCGGGTGGTTTTCTTGGTGGAGAGGTTCCAGGTGACGTAATGGGTGGCGTCTATGCGGTATAGATAGCGGTGGAGTTGGGCACGGGGTTGGAGCTTTGTTTTTGGTGCGGGGTTGGTTACGTATCCGTGTTGTCCGAAGGGAAGTAGGGTAGTGATATTGACTGGTGTGGGAGACCAGAGGCTCTCTGGTAGTTGTTTGCTGGAGCGATGGGGTGTGTGATTGTATTTGTCTATGTAATCACGAGCAGCATATTCCCAGAAGTGTGGGGGCATGTCAGATGAGGACAGTGCCGCGCGGACATGGTCAAAAATTGTGCGGTTGGCTCTCTCTGCGAGGGAATTTTCCTGCGGGGTGTGTGGGATGGTGGTGTGTAGGGTGATGTGTTGGTCGGCGTAGTATGCACGGAGATCGTGCGAGATATACTCTTTCGCATTGTCGCTTGTGACATGGCGGACGGTGTGTCCGTGTATTGGTTTGATCGACGTCAAGAATGATTTGACGTGGGTAGCGGCTGTAGCGCGTGTTGGGTGGAAGGAGGCAAAGAGCTTGCGGCTGCCTTCGTCTATGAAGGTTAACATGTAGCGGTTGTTGTTGGGAGAGAAGGGTGAGATGGGGCCGCACATGTCCGTGTGGATGTGTTGTCCCGGGGGTGCCTGACGGGGGTGTTTGTGGAATGGGGCGCGGGAATTTTTCCCGACAAGGCAGCCGGTGCATGTGAGGCGTGGTGGAGTGGACTTGAGGGCAGGGGGCAGTCCGGGGGCTAGGTTGTGTGTTGCCATGTAGTGTAGTTTCTTTGGGTGTATGTGGCCCAGTTTGAGATGATAGTTGTGGTGGGCGAGGTCGGAGGCAGAGGGGGGTTTGCTGAGGGGAGGCGGAGATGGTTTGCGGGGTGTGATCGTTGTCTTGGAGGAGGGTGGGGATTGTTTGATCGTGGGGAGTGTCAGATGGGGATCATGGGGATGATGGGAGGGTTTCTGTTTGGGGGGAGGGGGTGCGGAGGATCGGGGTTTGGCGGAGCGGAAGTATGATGAAATGGGGGGGGACTTCGTGAGATTGGCATGTGCGCTCGTGCGGGGTGTGAAGGAGGTGGGTATTAGGACGTGGTACAGTCCTCGGTGTAGTTTGGCGGTGGTTATAATGGAGGATGGCGGTGGGGGTGGGAGGCGACGGCAAATATATGCCTTGTCTTTTGAAAAATTGTGTCGACATGGGAGGATAGTTGTGGGATGGAAAGCAGATTATGTTTGATGTGGGGTGTCAAAATGGCTCGGCGGAGTGGGATGGAGGCCGGGTGGGCCGGGTTGGTGCGTGGATGTAGGGTCACTGGTCCCTGATGAGATATGGGGGAGGGGGAGCCGTTGGCGGTTAGGGTGGAGCCATAGGAAGGGGGCATGTGGGGGGGTGCAGTACGGAGGTGTGTGGGGAACGCAGCAGAGTCAAGTACGTACGATGTGGGGGGTGACTGCGGGGTGGCGTCGGGATTAGTATTCCACTTGTTGGTGTGGTATTGGTGCTGTGGGGACGTGGGGCGAGTCGGGACCTGTTGCCAGTTGGCGTGTGTGGGGCGGATCGGGGATTGTGGCCATTTGGCGTGGGTGGAGGGGCGTGGACGGTTGAGGGCTTGTTGTTGGAGTGCACTGTGGTGAACATCTTCTCGCATTTTTGAAATGCATTCGTCCGTGTCGTGTGATGGGGTGCCGTGGTAGGAGCACCATTTGCCGCGCCAGTGGTTGGGGCGGCGGGCGTTGCGGTTGCCGCGGGGAGGGTTGTACTGGCGTTGCGGGCGGGGTTGAGGTGGGTGTGCTTGGTGGGATAGTTGGGGTGTTTGCCTTGACAGATAGTTTTCTGCGTGGAGTAGGTGTGCTTCTATCTGTTCGATGGGGAGAAGGCTAGATTGTGCATGGAGGGTGAGAGCGATCGGGTTGTAATCCGGGTGGTCACGTAAGCCATCCAGGAGAAACTGTGCAGTGGTGCCTTTTTCCTGTATGCCAGGATAGTTGACGGCACGCATCCGGGTCCGTATGTTCTTGTGGAGTGTAAGGTATTCGATCATAGAGGTGCCGGGGTGCAGGGTTGTCTCGCGAGCGAGGGCTGTCAGCAGGTAGGGGGCATTGCTGGAGTTTGCGGTGGTAATCTCGTGGAGTCTGTTGCATAAATCGTAAGGAGAGAGAAGGAGGTCGTCGTCAGAGAGGAGGGGTCGAACTTCTTCGGACAGACTGTGGAAGATAAGGGCAAGGGCAAAGCGTTTCTGGCGTGTGTGAGATCGGATGTCTTCTGTGTCAGTGGGGAGGGGAGGGTTGTTGTCCAGGTGGCCGTCGCAATTGTTGATGGAGGCTACGAGGATCAGGTTGTTGTGCCAATAGTTGAAATTGGTGAGTGTCAGTTGAGTGACGGAAATGCGGGGACCGTCAGGTGTGGGCGGGGATGCCATGGTGGGTGGATGATTGGTGGTGGTTGGGGATGTGGAGGGGGGGTAGTAGGTCAGGGATAGGGGGGGAGTCTCAGGAGAAGAAATGGTTGGTGTGGGGGATGTGCGGATCGGCCGTGGGCCGGTTTTTGCGGTTGTGTGATGTGATGATCGGCCGTGGGCCGGTTGGTTGTGGGGGTATGAAGGGGGAATGGAGAGGGTGGGCAGTGGGAGCGGGAAAAAAAAGAAAAGGAAGGGCCTATAACCTGTAGGAGAGACTCAAGACCTGGGGTCGACTTTACTGGGGGCATGAGCGACGACGGTGTTAAGTACGGTGGGAGTGCTATGTACACGTGTAAGATACGACAACGCCAAACGTCTGCGAATGTATCTCGCAGCCAATTTTCTGCATCTCCCGCACATTCCTCAGTTGCTTCTCCAGAGATTTCCTCCCGACTTGGGGGGCAACAAGATGCAGTTCAATCAATGCCTGCAGCAGTACTACAAGCGAAGGTAGAGAAATTGACAGTGGCAGATCTACCAGGAGAACTGCCGCCGAAAGCAGCTTCAGGCACGGAACTCCATATCAATGTGCCAAGCCCACCAGACGAAGATTCCACTACTAATAGTCGAGGTGCCGTAAATCCGGTGCATGCCATCCTTACTTCAGCGAAGGACCTCAAGAAGTCTGCAGTAGCTGCAGTAGTCTGAAAGGGACACGGTTCTGTGAAGAGCGGAGGATCACGACATAGTAAGCAATTGAGACGAATGTCCTTTAGGTTGCCCGAGCCAGAAAACCTGGTTCCTGAGAATGGTGCAGCTGCAGTAGATCCATCAAATAAGCCCGGCGCGGCTCGAGCCAGGCGCGGCTCTCTGTTTCACGGAGTCGGTATGCGTCCGGTGAGTTGCTTATTCATTCAAGTGCAATTACGTTGCTTGTGCGAGACTATGTCGAGCCCGGATTTATCCATTTCTTTTCTGACATGCTGGGCACAGTACAACCAACTCCTGGCTTGAAGATCCGACTCGTTCAAATCCCAAAAACGCTCTTCAGGATGGACCGCGGTGCTGTTTTCAGAAATGGGCAACTGTTTTTACCCTACATCTCAGTATTTAGGTCTCTTATTCGTCATGGTGCAACACCACTTGGAATATATTGATCAGGAGATGCCCCTGTTCGAGTACCTGGAAGACAGAGGCACCGGCGCGGAATGGCTCTCTTAGAAGAGCTAACGCTGTATTGGAAGGGACTTGCGAAGGCAGGTACTGCGTCTGTCACAAAGGGCCGTTTGTCACTGTTTCAGCACTTGCTAGGCATTGTAGAAGCTGTCTCACCCCGACACATGAGAGAGGCGCAAGGTCGACATGAGATCAACGGGTGTCAACAGGATTCAAGCACTAGTGATGAATACGACAGCGATTGGGGCACAAGTGGGGAAGATGGCGAGAAGGAAAACATGGAAGGCAGACTCAAGGGGCTGCCAGTCGAGAAACACCAAAAGAACCTCGAGGATAATACTGCTCCAGGTCCTGTTGGGGACACGGGTCCGAACCATGCAACGTCTCCTGCATTGCCGCAGAAAGGGGATTTATTCGAGAAACACATGGAGGCGGGCAAAGGGGAATATGAAGTACCGGGAGGGTGCAGGTACAAAGAGAGCCCGCCTGCACAAAACTTCCTCCCGTACGTATTTACTATGCCAGAACCGTGTACTTTATGTGCGAAAACCGATGGTATCTACATCCTGTGTCATCCGTCGCTGGAATTGTCGGACAGGTGGACGGAAGCCATTGCCAACGAAGGGGAAGACGAGTCCCAGGATCAATAGAGTTTGCGCCAAACGGGTTTCTGTGTTTTTTCTCTCGGTTATCTTCAGATTCATCCCTAAAGGTTAATCGGCCTCCGTATTTAGCGAAGCCTCCAGCCCTAATCCGTATGCGTCATCCGATTCAAGGTGAGGATAATAGCTTCGTCTCGGCGAGAACTCGTCAAATTGCATCATTTAAACAGCGACGACCGTTTGTAATCGTGGAGGAATGCCCAATACGTGGGAGTTGACTACCAATTGGAAGCTCCTTTAGAGGAGTCCTGCAGCATCCACGGGTCTCTCCAATATTCACCCGCGAAAACAGCTTGATCTCCCGTCTCTTCTTCAATTCGCAGTAGTTCGTTGTACTTGGCAAGCCGCTCGGATCGACAAGGTGCCCCCGCTTTAATTTGGCCGGTGCCGAGTCCTGCGCAGAGCGCTGCTATGAAAGCATCTTCCGTCTCTCCAGACCTGTGGCTCACCATCACGCCGAAGCCCGCATTTCGTGAGAGATTGTTGGCCTCAATAGCTTCTGTCACTGTTCCAATTTGATTCACTTTAAGCAGCAAGCCATTACAGGCACTCGTCTCGATAGCCCTTTCTATTCTTTCAGGATTTGTGACGAGTAGATCGTCTCCAACGATCTGAATTAACTCATTTAGTTCCCCAGTCATCTTTTCATATGACTTAAAGTCGTCTTGGTCGTGCAACCAGAGGCAGCGCGCGCACGACCCCACTGCGAGCGTGGACCTCTGCGATGGGCGCCCAGCGGCCCCTAGTCCGCGCACCGGAAGCGTACGAACGCAGGGTACTTTCGATCCCGCCAGCCTATACAGTCTGCGACCTGCCCCCCGCCATGCTCAGTGCCGTCTCAGACGCCCGCGCGCCCTCCGAGAGCACGCACTCCGAAGCGCCGCTGCCCGCATCAATGCGCACCGTCTTGTCATCTCCGCCGGACGCTGCCCCCTCGCCGCTGCGAGTGGGCAGCTATCCCCGGACGCGTCCCGCGATAGCGCAAGGGCAAAAATCTCACTCTCTTGCCCGTTGCTCACGACCTGCCGCACGCCCCGCGGTACGAACTCCCGCCCTAGGTGCACGCCCTCTCACCGCGCCACCGTCGCCACCTCCGGCGGAGTGAGACAGATGCGGAGTTGGAATGGGGCAGGCTGCCCCATTCCAACTTCGCACACGCGCGGAACGCAGACCGCAACAGATTGGAAGCCTGCCGACGCCCACGCCTCTGCGCCTCCCTCGTCGCCCGCTTCGTCCGTTCTGACTCCCCGGGGCGCGGGCGCTCCCTTCAGTCAGAGTTCCCATCAGTAGATTCTCCCGAACTACAATGCTGACCTACAGTATGCAACAAAGTGACCACCGGATATGGACGTTCTTTCCCTTTCCCCTTGACTACGGCCACAAGTTTATCCCGCTTGTTAGAGATAGAGTTGATGTTAAGCGGGAGTAGGATCCCTTCATGTGCTGGACGCTCGTCATCCGGCAGGTTCTGGAATTCCCGGGCAACTCCCCTCGATATTTCGGACCACGTCCGCACATCACTTTCAATCATTTCTCTTTCGCTGTCCGTTAGTTCATAAACAACCTGCGCGCTCTCGGTATCGCTTTCCAGGCAGTAATTGTGTAGTTTCATTAATAAACAGATAAGATTGGTACTCTTCTTAACTGAAAACTCCAATCCACCTCTCATAATCCTCCATCGCGCGACGAGCATTCCAAAAGCCTGCTCAATGTGCATGCGTAACGAGGATTGATAAAAGTTGAAGTTGTCCTGGTCACAGTCTGCTTCACTCTTAGGAAAGGGTGTGATCACCTGTTCCGTGCATGTGTAAGCCTCGTCTCCTACAATGTAGAAGATTTCTCCTAACACACCTTTTTCTATTTCCCTCTTCAGTCCCGACACAGAGTATGCCAGAGCATCATGCGTCGAGCCGGTGCACAGAGCGGAACAAAAGTGGAAAATATAGCTCGAATCGCATAGCGCTTGAACAGGAATTGCGTAAAAGCCCTTGCGGGAGTAAAACTGTGCAGGGTTCTCCTTTTTAGAAGGTTTCTTGACCTTGACGCATATCTCATCCAGAGCGCCAACGCATCCAGACAAGGGGCTTATTGGATTTCGAGAGGTTTGGAATTTATTCGCAATCTCCTGCAGCTCAGCAGTGGTTTCAGGAAAACCTTTCAAACGCAGGCGCTCGTTAAGGGCTCTGCAAGTGCTGTTGACAATGCTGTAAATGGTAGACTTCTGGATCTGATACGCAAGCACTAGGTCACAATAGCTCCCCCTGCCAATAACCTCAGCGTCACTGCGAGCCTTATGTCAGATGGAATAGTTCCCCTTCTGTACTCACTGGGCCTTTGAAAGGCCTATCCAAAAGATCTCGCACCAGGCTCAGGAGCGCACTGAATGCCGGAAGCGACATCCGGTAAGCCTTGCGGAACATTGGCGGGGAGAACCTCTTGACCACATCTTCAAAAGAAATCGTGTACATAAATGGGAGCTCGGCTCGCGGGTAGCTGGCTCGACGATGCTTGACCCTCGTTTCTGCTGAGATAAAAAAGATTGCGGCCGCAATAGCTGAGTAGCCTTCCTCCTCGGACGAATACGAGCTCCTTGTCAATGCTTCGTCGCTACCAGGAGGACGAACTTTCAGCGTTTCGATAATTTTCTCAGCCTGGCTGAGGACGTTTTCGGCAATCGAAGTTTCGGTAGGGAAGCCCGACCGTGCCATCAAACGACGATCGTAAGGGAGAGAACCAACGGGCTGCCCTATACGTTTGTCGTAGACGAATTGAAGTCCGTCCGGAGCTATATTCATCGCAAAAGATTACAGAGAGGGTGTCTATTGTAAATGAAGGTGAGGAGATCTGCCGAGCTACACAGTGGCGCTGGAATGGTGATGAATATGGTGCCGTCGCAAAAAAGAAGACCGTGGATTGAAGACACTTGGGAAACTGAATTTCTTCACCGGCCATGGGACGTAGAAATAGTTTGTATGCTCGGCCTTGGAACAAATCCCAAAAACGTTTCTCTGTTTGCCTTCCTTACAGGTACCGGAGAAAAGTTGTGGGTAGGCGGGACAACTCTCGTTAGGCCTGCATGGGGAACAGCAAGCATCCGATGGGTGAGATGGAGAATGTCGGAAACAGCTGAGCTCCTCGCGGTCCATGTCTCGTTTGTCCCACAGCCTTTTCCACGACGCCGCGACCTGCGTCCTGGAAATGCGGGGCGGAGAGGGCGAGGGGGTGGGGAAGGCGAGCACGCGGCAGCAGGGATGAAGAGTTGCCCATAATGAATTGGGGTTGAAAGACGGAGGAGTTGAATGGGGATGGAGGGGGGAGGAATGTATACTCCAGAGGAATGAATGTATACACGATCGAAGGATGAAGACATGGCGTATGTGTGGAGGCAGAGCGGGGGAGGGGGTGTGGGCGGGAGGGCGGAGCGAGGGCAGGGGGATGAGAGGGGTAAGAGTTGTACATGAGCGTGTGTGGTGAAAAGGAGGCGCGGGGATGTGTGCATGTATGTACGGTGATACATTGAAGGAGAGCGTAACATGGAAGAGGGCACACAACTGAAATTTTGTTGTGTTGACCGTGTCGCGAAAGACGAGATCCTGATTTCCGCACACTTCATAATTACAGCTCCATTATTTTATGTACTTCAAAAAAAGTATCCACGACCGCCCAAAACAAGGCTGTCCAAAGCCGTCCAAACTGTCTTAAGACAGAGCCTGAGTAGGGAGGCTTTGCCACGGGGTCGCCGTAAAACGCGACCCCCCTGTCCGTGTAAACGTGTCATTAGAAGGAAACATACTGTTTTATAAGAGTATCTCTACCGCTAGTGTCTATTATCCCACGAGGATTAATTAATCTTTTTTCCAGCACCATGCTGGACGGTAAACGGCTGGACTTGAGAGCAAATGGACACCGAGAATCGATTCAGCGCCCTTTTTATTAGCTTGGAGGAGATGGGCGCCTTTTACATCGAGCTATCATAACCTCCACCGGCAAAAAGGGCCACCACGCCAAGCTCAAGGTCACGCTGCGCTCGACCATGTCGTCTCTGGCAAAACAGCGGATTGGGGCGCGAGTACACGCCAGGGCGCACCTTGCCTTGGGAGAAGCGGAGTCTAAACGATTCTACGGGTCTCTTTACAAGGAGACCCTGGTGTCAGGGGGGGTGCTGAGGGTGGAAAAGGAGGCCGGAAAAGGGAGGGTGAGCATCTTCCTCACCGTGAGGTGGGATTCTCTGGCCGGTCAGCGGGACAGGCGCATCACTGTGCGCAGTGTCACGCTCGGGGATCTTCCCCTGGTCACTCCCGCACCGCCGCAGCAGCATCAGAGCAGCCCAGCGACCCCTGTGCTCCGTCAAGCTGAGCAAGGGCGAAGCGCCAGGCAGACGGGCAGTGGTGCTTACAGTACCCCTGAGCAAAACGAATCACCCACTCCAGAGCCGCCACTGCAAACCCAGACCACCTACGACGCGCATGGAGTATTGTGGCGTCAGAAAGAGGTTTTAGAGCCGGTTGGGGGGGCGGTGCCGCGTCGAAGTTGGGAAATGAGAAGCGTAGGAGGGCAATCAATTTTTGAAGGGGGTGACTCCGGATCCTCGTCGACGCGGCGCCCACTCGACTTTTTTATGGCGGCACTGCCGCACCCCCATCTGCTCAAGATGGTGCAATGGACGTCGGAGGTGCTGCAGGACAAAGGGAAGCAGGCGGTGAGTACAGGGGAGCTGCTGAAGTTCTTTGGGATTCTCATCTTAGGAACAAGATACTCCTTCGGGAAGCGGAGGGAGCTGTGGGCTGTCAATGCGAGGAACCGCTTGCTCTCCGCTCCATGCTTTGGCAGCAAGACTGGCATGCCCCGCAACAGGTTTGAGGACATCTGGTCCTCCCTGGTGCTCAGCCAGCAGGGCGAGCGCATAGCGGATGAGCTGTCCGAGAAGCACCGCTGGAGACTAGTTGATGACTTCGTTGAGGCCATCAACCACCATCGGGCCGCAAACTTCGTGCCGTCCGACCTCATCTGCGTTGACGAGAGCATGAGCCGGTGGTATGGGCAGGGCGGGCACTGGATTGAGCACGGGCTCCCACATTATGTGGCGATAGACCGCAAGCCGGAGAACGGCTGCGAAGTCCAAACCTCGGCGTGCGGAAGGAGTGGCGTGATGATGTGCAGCTGTTGACGACGGCCGAGCACGAGGAGGAGCGTCGAAGTGAGCGAGAGGAGGGGCTGGGCCACCGCACTGTTGTGCTGGACAGACTGCTGCGCACCTGGCTTGGTGCCGGAGCACGCATCGTTTGTGCTGACTCGTACCTTGCGAGCTACGAGGCGACAGCTCATCTGCGGTCACGAGGCCTGCGCTTCATCGGCGTGGTCAAGACGGCGACGAGGAAGTTCCCCATGCGCCTGCTGAAGGCGAAGCCAGTAGCAAACAGGGGACGCTGGCTGTCGTTCGCACATGAGGACGAAAACGGTGACGTGGCGGAGATGGCTTTGGCCTGGGTCGACCGCGAGCGGCGGTACTTTATCTCGTCTGCGTCCAGCGCTGCTGCAGGCGCCTCGTACGAGCGCAGTCGCTGACGCCAGACTGAGGCCGGCCCAGCACGGGTTGCGCTCACGGTCGAGCAGCCATAGTGCGCTGAGGTCTACTATTCCG